TATTTAAATTTAAACATATAGTATATATTTATATCATATAAATATAAATAATTTAAAACATAAAAAACTAATGTATGTAGTTTTCGATTTTACTTATCCATATATATATATATAAGTAGATAAATAGAAAAGATTTTAAAGAAATAAAGCAATTTTTCAAAAAATAGAAAAAAAAAATGCAATTTACTCTTATTTTTTTATTGGGCTAAGATTCATCATAAATAACCTAAGGGCCCAACTAACGAGTCAACTCAGCTGAGTGAAATCCTCCAACTCGCCAGTTCATTGATTTCCTTTTCCCCAGTAGTCTTTTCGTCGCCTTTATAAATCGATGCTTGATGGTACCGCAATAACTGGTTTGATGGAATCCCATCAGAAAACCCGACACTGACCGAGGCAAATATTTGGTCGTTTCAGCGAGAACCAGAAGACGGATTTATCCAAAGGAGACATGGATCTGTTTGGTGAAGAATATGATAATGACAATCGTGAGCAAGATGATGGATCCCGCGAATCCTCTTCCTCTCCGTCAAGATCATCATCCTCAGCCGCTTCATCTTCGTCATCTTCTTCGTCTACCTCCTCATCTGCGGCGTCTTCATCCAACGCCAGTGACGGGAGGAGCAGCAGTGCGAGTGGAAGCGGAAGCAGTGGAGGGGAAGAGGAAGATAATGGAGAAGAAGCAGAGAGTTACAATAATGATAACAATAATCTTTCTAACAATAAGGGTTTTAATGGGGTAGAGAGAGATCTTTTTGGGTCTGATAATGAAGATTATTGTAAAACCCCTGCTATTAGCCCTTTCTCTACTCCTGGTAAAATTTTTTATTATTGTTATTCTGTTAAATTCATACTCCTCCATTTTAATCAATTAGGTTAATGTCAGAGTATTTCATCTTTCAAAAAAAATGTGCGGAAGTATTTTAGTTAGGGTTTTGTTTCTTTCTCTTTTGATTGTGATTGCTTCTGCATATTAGTCTTTAATATCTTTAAGTGCAGTATTTTAGCACCCCCACTGAATTTCTAACTGTGAGAATTCAGTTCTCAGTTTGAGATTAGGGATTTACAATGGTTATGTTCTTATTACATATAAGAAAAATAATATAAAAATAAGAACAATGACTTCAGGATAGTGATTCAAGGCTAGATTCCTTCAAGGTATGCTAGTCATACCGAAATACAATAAAATTGTGTTCTAATTATCCCTAATAAAACTAATATAAAAGTTAGAACTATGAATTTAGTTAGAAATGAAATGAAAATTGAACAAACTGCAGCATTAAGATTCAGTTTGGTTTAATTATCATCTTTAGCTGATTTCGTTCTTTAATATTCACACAATTAGGTTATAGTAACTTCTCTAAAAATTGTAAGCGTAAAAATTAGTTGGTGATGAACTGAAAATTGAACGTAATAAGCAATATTAATATTTACTTTTGTTATTGATCATTTTATAGACGTATTTTTCATTAATTTATACATGATTTGGGATGCATTTAGTATATAAGGCAATATAGTAATGAGAGAAACAATCCAATAAGAGAGCCTCAAGTTGGCCATACTGTTTTAGGGACCAGGCTCTTTGTTTCTGCTTTCTGTCTTATTGCATTAAAGATCTTTAAAAATATTTGCTAACCACAACTTTTTTGTAGTATTGCCTGCACTACGCAATCATAACAACCAAGGTGGAAGAGGGGGTTTTGGTCGTGGGCGGTGGCAGGCCGGATATCAAAATGATAGAGGTGGTGCAGGCATTCTTCCTCGTCCTGGACCTTACCCTCAAAGGCAGGGCTATGGTTATGGCCCAAAATTTTCAAATGGTCATCGTGATGACCGTTTCGTGTCTGAACTAAAGCTTTCAAAGAGTGAAGAAACTTTATCAAGAAAAGCTACTGTTTTCAGGAGGTTGGTGATTCTTGTATTTGTTTTTCTTCCTTATGATTTCATAACTACTTCCAGTTCTAATAATATCCTGCATAAATTGTTTTATGTAGATCAAATGAAGGCTGAATGAATTTGTAATTTCTATAATTTTTTTTCTGAACATTATTTTGTTATGATATATCTCATAACTTTTAGCTAGATGTCAGACTAAAGACTCATGAGGTAGCCAAGTATTGATTTGGTGTTATGGTAGAAGATTTGGAAACAGAGTAGGAAGAATTAGAAAAGAAGAATAGTAGAATGAGGAGGATTAGAGAGTCAGAATTGCTAGAGAGAGAGAGAGAGATAGAGAGTAGAATATCATCTTCTTAGATTTCAGCATGAGGAGTACATCATCTAGGTGTCCTATCAGTACTACTTCCCTCCTATAGTACCTAAGAATCTAAGGCATGGTCACAATTGGTATTCCATCATGTATCCAATCTAGCTAACAATTTCAATTGAATTTGCAGGAGTTAAAAAAGAGGAAACTTTCTTACTAATTAACGGACTAGGATCCTTAACGGGTATTATTCTCTCCTGAAATTTCTCTTTCTTTGAAGAATCTTGTCCTCAAGTTTTACATGTGAAAACTATCCTTTAAGGGTCAGTCTTTCCATGTTGTTTCATTATGTCCCATATTCAACGATCGGGACCAAGAATTGATCTACCTGTTTGCATGGCAAATAATGGTTCTTTTCTGCATTATGTGCTTTGGGTTACAACAATTTGACCTAAAGAGCCTTTGATTGGGAGTTTGCCATCACTGATGGTATTGTTGCCCATAGATTTGTTAAGCATTGTGATGTGGAAGACTAGGTGTATTCTGGAATCTGGAGGTAGGTTAGTTTGTAGACAGCTGATCTAATTTTCTCTTAAATCCTAAAGGGTCTATGGAACTTAAGAGCTAGTCTTAAGCATCTCTGTGAGCTAATATAGATTGTCTATAAGGTTGCAATTTTAGTAAAACTGGCCTCTTGGTGTTTGCAAACTATGTTTCCAACAATTGCTCCCTAAGCAGCCTGTTCATTGTCCCTCATTCATCCACTCCTCAAAACTGGCCGTAGGTGTTACCAATCTTTTTGTTCCATTAGTAAGGGAGGAGAGTACCCATAGAGGGCTGTGAAAGGAGGCATCTTCAGACTGGAATGGTAGGTACTGTTGTACTAGTATTTTGCTAGATCGAGCCATAAGATCATGATTTTGGCTTCTTAGATTTTTTTTGGAAATAAAACTAATAGAAATATGATTTTGGCTTCTTAGATAATCCTTTATATATTAATTGACCCTCTCGGTCTACTCATCTGGTTGTTGGTGGTAGACAATGCTCATGTCTAGTTCCATTCTCATTGACCTCATTAATTCTTGCTAGAAAATATATGTGAATATGTCTCTATCCAACACTGTCGTAAGAGGCATCTTATGTAACCTGAAGACATGTTCTCAGAACAGATTAGCCACCTTTTTAGTTGAGATTTGGTGTGGAAGGGCTAGGAAGTCCAATATATCTATCCATCACCACCATGGTAGTGTCCCTCTATTTTGATTTGAGAAATTGTTCAATGAAGTCTATGGTAATATAAAACCAAGCTTGTTTTGGGAGGGTTGTAAAGAAACTGAGTATTTTTGCATATGTTCGCTTTTACAACTTTGAAAAGTATAAGACCTCTTTATTTTTTTAGATAAAAGGTATAATATGAGTCATTTATTTATAAGCACTAAGGAGATGCTAACCCATTTATAAAAAATATTTACATATCAATCAAAACAGATCATCAAAATCTTCCATTATATAAAATAGATGACTCATAATAAAAAAACCCTAAGGTTTGGAGCCATCTATCTCTAACCCTATCGTAGTCATCTTCCACTTTCTTAAAAGCGCTCTTGTTTCGTTTTTACCACACCACCCAAAAAATAGTAAGAGGAATGAGATTCACATGTTTCTTCCCTCCACTTATACCTTTCTAGGCATATTTTACCTCACTGACCCAACTATCACTCGACTAATTCCCAGTAATCGATAAGCCATAATTTACAATTTATACACAAGCGGGCACCAAAGAAGGATGTGATTACAAGACTCTGCCTCCTCCTTACGTAAAAAAATCCATTCACCAATATTTTCTTCTCATCGGCTTGTCAATATTGAGGATACACCCATGACCTGTTTTCATGCAAAAAAAACAACTCTACTAGAACATTAACCTTCTAGATTTGGCAAAAAGGAAAACTTTTGTCTGTGATGTCATTTTTAATCAAATAATTATAGAAGGACTTGACTAAAAAAGACCCTCTAGGATTGAGTCTCCAAATTGGTTGGTTGTTATTCCTTTTTGATTGTAGTGGTAGAGAGTCTATGGAGAAGAATCTCATAATCATTGACTTCCCGATTTGTTGAGGTTTCTCATAACTTTCACATGCCATTCTCCTTTCTTCCATTTACTCTATGTGACTTGTGAACTGAGATATTCTTGTGTTGCGCAATAGTATGAATATGGAAAAATTGTTCTCTTAGTGATCCTCCTCTTAACCAAGTAACATTTTAGAAACTAACTTTATCTCCATTGCCAACTCCAACTAATACAATCTTAAAATTTGTTTTTGCCATGCATTTTTTTTCTACATCCCTTTCTCGTGGGGTCTAGGCGATATTCTGGTGTACCACCCTCTATCCATGATCCAAAACTTGCCTCAATCACCCCGTGCCAGAGGATACCGTTTTCATTCATGAACTTTCAGAGCCACTTCCCTTGTAAGGTCAAATTAACCTCCCTTGAAGATCTCAATCCCAAATCCCCTTGACACATAGGCTTTTCAACTTCATCGCTTGCCACCAGATGATATGTTTTCCTATCCGTCAATTTGCTCCATAAAAATTTACATTGAATCGATTTTAATCTCTTGACTACACTTGTAGGAATGATCAAAAGGGGGACATTTAAAGATGAGGATATTAACAATTGTACTTTTAATGAGTGTAAGTCTTCTCTTTTTATCTAGGAGGTTTCTCCTCCATCCGCCAATCTCCTTTCAAGCCTTGCTACTACAGGATCTTAAATTGTTAAATTTTTATATTTAGTCCCAAATGGTAACTCCAAGTATTAAACCGGCAATCACACACTTTTATACTCTATAACTCTCGCCAACCTAAAAACATCCATCTCATCATCAAGTTTCACCAACTTGGACTTTGCTAAATTAATGATGAGTCTTGAAATTGTTGGAAAACTCAACAAAATGCATATGATGTTTAATATGACCATCTCATCTAGTTCATATGGTACCAAAGTGTCATCAACAAAGAATATGTGAATTACCTCCTCCATATGTTCACCTTTATCCACCTTTAAACCTTTAAACAACTCTTTTTTTGTGGCTCTTAATAACATTTTGTTTACGGTTTCTATGACAATTATAAATAATAGGGAAGATAAAGAATCATCTTTTCTAAGGCGTTTGGATGGTTTGACGAAGACGGACCCCCATTCATCGTGATCGCATAAGTTGTAGAAATACGAGTTGATCCACTTGCACCATTTGTCCCCAAAACCCAACCTCCACAGCATATAATCAAGAAAGCCCTAGTTTACATGACCATATGCTTTCTCCATGTCCAACTTACCTAGGACATTTTTCCTCCTCTTGTATAATAAATCATTTACAATCTCATTAGTTACCAGAGTCGCCATCCATAATTTGTCTGTCTTCTACAAAAATATGTTAACACTTGTGCACCACCCTATCCATCACCTTGGCCATCCTTCTAGCAAGTACTTTCGTTATGATTTTATAAACATTTCCAACTAAACTGATAGGTATGAAATTCTTAATATTAGCCGCCCTCTCCACCTTTGGAATGATGACCAAGAAGGAAGAGCTTAAAGTCTAACAAAGAACCGAATTCATGAAACTTCTTAAAAAGCCAAAAAATGTTGTCTTTCATTATGTGCTAAAATTTTTATAGAAAACCCATATTGAAACCACCGAGTGCAGGAGTTTTATCCTTTTTGCATTGCATGAGTCCCCCAAGAATCTCCTCCTTAGCGAACTCTCTTTCAAGTGATTCCCAATTTTACTCATTCAAAGACATGAAGTTCAAACCATCCAACTTGTTTCTCCAATTGAACTCCTCATGATATAATGTGCAAAAGAATTCTATGACCCCTTACCTCAATTGCTCATTACCTTTCACTAACCAACCATTTCGATCTCCTCCACATAATTGGTTCTCTTGTGGTGATTTGCCATGTGGTGGAATAATTTCGTGTTCCTATCCTCCTCATTTATCCATCTGAGTCTCGATTTTTGTCTTCATGAAATCTCCTCTATTTGTAATTTGTTTACCAAATCAAACTTTATAGATTCCTTGCGAGTGAAGTCTTCAGTTGACAAACCACCTTCTCCTTCCATCCTACCAGAGGCCTCAATATCTTGTAGTAGAAATTGAGTGATTATACCTTCACCCCCTCCTCTCATCACTTCTTATTTCAGCCGTTGCCACCTTCATCGT